CTAGTCAAAACGTATGCTGACCGATGCAGGTTTAATTTACCAAATAAACAGGCAAAAAAGATAAAAAGGAAAATGTCTGGATTCAGTATCATCTCGGTAACCCCTTTCATTGTTGCCAACTGGGGTGCAGCTTAGTAAAGATCTGGGAACAGATCTGACCATATTTGGTCTAACCGGTGCTCAAAGCAGATCACAGTGCCACAAGATATGACCTCCGCCGGTAGCCTATTCCAATGGTTCACAATTAGGTTTGTGAAAAAGTGCTGTCTAATGTTCAATCGAGCTCTTTGCTTTTTCAGTTTCAGCTCGTGACCTTTCAAACCATCCGCGGTAGCAGGGTGGAAAAGCTCTTGGGGACTGATGTTGCTGAAACCCTTCATACATTTGCAGGTTTCTATGGGTTCCTCGCTCAATCTTCTCCTCCTCATCGAAAAGAGATTCAGGGAAGCTAGCCGCTCTTTATAAGGCTTAGTTCATTACCCCTCTATCATTTTATTGGCTATTAGTGGATGTCACTTGTTTCTGCACCTCTAGGGTTTTTCATTCGTTGAAACTTCATTTGAAGTGAGACACTTAGGTTTCTCGCTTTCAACGCATAGGTTATGTTGAAACTGGCTATTGGCTAGACTTTAGAACATAGAAGAAAGTATAATTGCTCCTTCTTAAGAAATCTAAGCGGGAATAAGCCTTCCTTATTATTGTTGAAAGTTTCCCGGATTGGTGCGTTTCTTAGAGTGGGTTTGAAAATTTTACCCGGAACTGTGTTTCGCAAAGAAAGCATTTTACAGTCCCCTGCGCGTCCTGTAGAGGGTTTCATTCAACGGATGCTCAGAGGACTTTCAGGGGACAGTCATGCTACGTGGTCAAGTAAAAAGTGTAATTTAAAGTGAGACATACAATTTTAACCTCTTCTGTTGTTTTTCATTTGAATAGCACGCAAAATAGAAAAACCAAACGAGAATTGTGGTCTCCCACGTCATCAGGAGAGAACGTCAAGGTTAGAGAATCCCTGGAGTTTTTTACGCTGATGACCTGTACTCCCTGCGGAGTGATATCTTAAAGGTATGCGAATGGTCTCAAAAATCAGACCTCTCACTGAACTTATTGGAGAGTTACCTGCTAGCTAAAGTGTTTCAATCCCTTCCTCGACAGTCCCTCATTCGAAAACACCAGAACTATTTGCATCCTCAAGTGTGACCATCACTCAGACCCAACTAGTTAGTTAGAACAGAGAGAGAAAAGACGAATATTGAGAGATCTAAACATATTTTTAATCTTTTCAGTCGCTACAGCGCAAGACGACGAGAATGCACCTTAATGGATTGCGTGCCTCCATGAACCTGCAAACTACACAGGATGGCTTAAACAGCTGTAGAATCAATCATGTCTGAAAATCGACGGGTAGAGGCCAGGCACAGCTTACCGTCGAAGGAGTTTCTCTTTGGTAACCCTAACTGAAGCCTTTGACACAATATTCTGACCCGCAAGGTAGCGGGAATTGATGGGTTTTCATTGGTAAACCTAACCGTAGACTTCGACTCAAACGTCTGATCCACACGGCAGTGGGGCGTAAATCAAACGCGAGAGTGTGAACAAAGAACTGGTATGGGAGCGTCCAGAGACCCGTCAGTGGGTAACGAAGTGGAGAGAGATGGAGAAGGCTGCGGTTATTGGCAATAGTTGCAATCTTTTTGTTTAATTAGGAGTACAGGTCCACTAAAAATAGGTGTTAGTGAGGTAATTAAGGAATCAGACGACATACTGATTCAAATTCAGTAACACCATCTTGAACGTTGGAAAGAACATTTTAAGGCACATTTCAGCCGGTCCGCTTCAACGGTGCAAATACTGCCAGTTGAAATCAGTCCTCCATCTAAGATGAAGGTTTACCGGGAAATAAGCTATCTCAAAAGATATAAGGCTTCCGATCCAGATGGGTTGTTCCCATCAGCTTTTAAGGATGGAGGTTCAGCCATGATTTTGGAGTTAACGAAACTCCTGGGCTCAATATAGGGAAGGAAAGAAGTTCCAGCTGAATGGTGTGAATTGGTGATCATACCGACGCACTAGAAAGGTGACAGTGATTTAGTTGCTGTCATTGGGGTTCTTTGGATCCTGTGGTCCGACGTTCGAGCAAGGTCACCACCATCCAACTTTGGTGGTAGGCAAATTTGCTGTCGCCCTTTTCTATACCACGCCTGGTCTATTGGGGTCTTATGTGGTTCGCTACTCCAATCCCCGGGGCTTAGGCTGGTGTTACTACCACTGAACAGTTTCAGCTTTTACAAATATTAACCATGCAATTTCGTGCGCCGGTTTTGGTTGCTGTCGTTTGGTGCCCCATTTGGATAAAAGAGTAGAATGAAGATTGGAAGGTTGAAATCAAATTCCAGCGGAAGATGAAGAATCCATATAGACTGGTGTTGTGAGAACGATCAGTGGATGCAACAGCTTCACTGTTTGCGACACCCAGCCATATCACTCAATGTCTCTAACTATGGATGACCATGACCATGACCACCGCAACTGCCTAAAACTCTAAGCATAACCTCAGCATTACTGGTCCGGTTACCCCACCAGACTCGTGCAATGCAACGTACCAAGCGATGTTCGAATACCGACAGCCTATGTTTATCCTGTCCCCATAGTGGCTAAGTCTCTGAATTGTAGAGCAGGATTGGCCGAACTGTCGCGGCATACACTCTACCATTCACAGACACCCATGTCTCGACGGTGCCACAAATATCTGAAGTTGGTAAATGCCAAACAAGCCTTCTATATGCACTCCGACACTGTATCCGTGATGTGTCCACCGGGTGAGATGTAGCTGCCCAGATAACAAAACTTATCCACTCACTCTCTCTCTCTCTCTCTGTTACTTCCCCCGTTAGACTGAGATTGGGTGCTGGACCAACCTAGTCTTGTAGTAACATTTTACACTTTGGAGGTGCAAAACGCATACCAAACATGGCTACGCTGGCGATAAAGCTATCCAGAAAGGCTTGCAACTTACCTGCATCTTTGCATAGCAGCACAATGTCGTCCGTATACTCCATATTAGATAGTCTGCATCCTGGGACTGAATAGATACCGCTATTCTCACACGAGGATAGGGCTGTTTCCATAATCAAAATCTATAACAAAGTTAAATAGAAACGGATAGAGACGGCAACCCTGTCGAACCCCACCTTCTGTAGTGAACTCGTGCAAAAAGGTGTCGTAAGCTCGGACTCGGCTTCGGTTATTAGTATAGAGCAATTGTAATATAGAACTGCACTTCTCGGGGACAACCTTTAGATCGAGGCAGTGCCAGATGTCTCACATCAAAACCAAATTGTTTTACATTGTAGCGACTGAAGAAAGTAAAAGAAAAGTTAGCACCTCGCAGTAGTTTTTTTCTCTCTGCTCTAACGAATTGAGTAAAGGAGACCCAGTCCCTTCCACGTTAGTTATTTTGGGGGATATAGAATCAGTCATTGCTGATCAACTCCACCGTAACCTGGAGCAAAACAATAGGCTGAGCGATCGTCAGTACGGTTGCTGATTTCATCAATCTACCGGTGATATTCTGGCACTCATTTTGCGTACATGGTCAGCAGCACTAGATAAACATGGATAAATGCATATAGTTTCACTGGAAAAATCGAAAGCTTTCGATTGTGTCTGGCACACAGGTTTACTGGCTAAACTACCCAATCTTGGTTTTCCTCCGGAACCTGGATAGTAAGATATCTCAAACACCGCCGCAACCTCTCCCCTCGAGTAGATAAATTGTGCATCGTTTCGTCCATGTGAATGCCGGGTATCCCTCAAGGTCCCGTACTTTTCTCTGTACCTGTTATAACGTTCTTTGATGACTTTCTTTATTCGAGTTCAGATCCTATTCATGCATTCATCAAGGACGCTAACTCGCACTCTTCTTTGTCCTATTCCTGTTCACGCATTGCCAACTTCAGCATGAGCGATGAAAAAACCCATTAGTATCTTTTTGAATTGAGATGTTGGCCTCATTTCCGCTAGGGGCTATTGCAAGCAAGTTCTCTATAATGCCAGCAAAACTTCCCCTACATTATTTTCTCTCAGGCACGAGGCTTCCTCCTTTCTTCGTAGATTTCGTATACAAGCGACTAGTCAAGTGAATATCCCGAGGTGTTCCATTTCTAATTTTCATTCATCTGTTTCCCAAGAACAGCACAACTGTGGAACACTCTCCCCTTTCGGTCTTCCCTCCAACTTACAACATCCTTATCTTTAAACACAGAATCCACAAGCTTGTTTTAGCTTGAATGTTGCCTTTACCACTTCGTATACAGTATCCTTTTTGGATTGTGTTTTCGCTTCCGTTTGCTATAATCACTTCTGTGCAATAAGAGGCCCACCTAGCTTGCGGTTGTTCAGGAGAAGTTATGGGCTCTACAAGTGACATTTATTGGTTATTCACAAAGAAATGCTACAAAATTTGGAATCCGGTTTCCCGAAAAATGAAGCTTTATAGGAATAGTAATTATGATGACAGTCGTTTATATTGCTTTATTATTATTATTTTTAGATACACATCTAAGTGTGATAAACAGCAGTGTCACGAGGACATGCTGTTCAGTGGTGGTAACCTGCAAACCTAAGCCCCGGGACTTGGAGTGGGGAACCACATACGGCCCCGATAGAATAAGTGTAGTATTGAAACGGACGACAACAGAGCTCCCTACCACCAAAGTCGGGCGGTGGTGGCGAGGCTCAAACCTAGGACCATGGAGTTCAAAGCGCGCCGGTGACAGTGACTATTTTACTGCGCCACCACCACCATCTAAACTAAAAAATACGAATTCCTAAGTGCAGTTATCTCAACAATGTAAGGCATTTAAATAGCCATAATGACGTTAGTGTAACTGTGGTTGTAAAACCCTTTGTGTTCCTCGTTTCAGGTAAGTTTGTTTGTGCACACCAGAGGCCGACTCCAACAACAACGGTCTTGGAAGAAATCGGTTTTTTGGAGTTTTAACATGGGCAACGCTATTCGTCGTAAGCGTCGATTGCACAAATCGAAATCAAAGAAGCCGGTTGTAGCACGTTATGAAGAGGCTACAAGTCCAGTTTTCGTTGTCCAGTCAAATCCGTGCACTCCGGAAATCGAGTTGGTCCCAAGTGAACCTGAACCTGAAAATAATTCAAATAAGTTCTATCAAGTTCGAGCGTTGTATTCAATGAAGGCGTTGTTTCCAAGTGATTTGTCTTTCCTGAAGGATGATCTCTTTTTGGTAAAGAGCAAGAATTTGAATGCTTGGATCGAAGCAATCAATCTTCGTACGCATGAAAAAGGCTTTATCCCTGGGAATTATGTTTGCCTTGACGATGGTGGACCGAAGAGTTTGGACGCATTTTATTCAATTGATCGACTGGATGCTGAGAAAAAACTGTTTTTACCGGGACAAGTTGCAGGAACGTACATAGTTAGACCAAGAGCAGGTACGTCATTTTATCGTGTAAGTAGGTTGTTTGGAGAGCTGTTCTGTCTATCAAGCGGTTTTAAGTGAAGTTGCAAAACCTAGGACGATTTTTCAATTATGATGAAACCGATTTAACGAAAAAACTGTGCGAAACAATATGGGGTTTATCGCGTCTGTTGTTCACTCCATAAAAAAGATGTATAATAGGGAAAATATATTGATGAGCTTAAGTGGGGAAACCCAGAGCGATATGTCGTTTTGGACTTCAAGTGCAAGCGTTGTAACTACAAGTGAATTTCACCGATCAAATTTTACTAGAATTTCACAAAGTGATTGGTGCTTCAGTTGTCACACGTCACCGATTGGATCAGGTTTATCAAAACCCCGGTCGAGAAATGAACTTCACCGATTGAATCGGGTCTGTTCAAAATCCGTCCAGCCCAAATAAGCTAAACCATTTCAAGATATAATTTCTCCGTAAATGAACAAAAGTACTTTTTGAGTAAGTAAGCGATGATGAATTGAGGTTGGCTGGTTGTCCTCCAACCCAAAAACGTTGATTGAGTGAGCCTAGGAGGGGAATCAACGAACCGGGATAAGGAAGCGAATCACATTAAAATGGAGCGATGAATCGATCATCATCATCGTACAGCGAAATACCGTGAAGCGAACTTCACTGATCGCTGCCAAAATCACAATGCATACAAGGTTAGTGATGAAATTTAAGGTGGACAGGGGTTCGATCTATTTTGAGGAAGGGAGAAGAAGATGAGCCACTATGGTCAACACAGAGTATGCAATCGAACTCTGCATATATACC